TCTGTGGGTGAACACGTCTTTAGGAAACCAGAGAAAATTGAGATAGTGAAGTCCTAAGAAAACTAGCTATAACATTTGTTGTTTAGTCTCTATGCAATGGAAAGACTTATTTGAAGTCCTGACTAGAATCATCTGTGAGGCTGGACCATCTCAGCCAGCAGTCTTGAAAGCTGTTCTGGATGCAGAACTCTGATAAAACTGCAACAGAGGCATTCTGAGAGGCTGGATCACCTGGACCATCTGTTTTCACTGGTGTCTGAGCCCCTTGCTCTGAAAACACAAACTTTCAAAGGTAACATACATTTGCATTAACATGAGTATAGACTGTGCATTGTACACAAGCCAGCCAAAGATGGTATTTTGTTTTATGTTTGCGCAGGTAAAACATATGTCACCTGTTTTGTGATTTTTTTTGAAGTTTAGTTCTTTATGTCTGTAGTCAGGATTTTAAGGAGGTCTCCTGTGCTGATATCTTGTTTGTGCTCTAATGAAGATTGCCTGGTGATCAGAGGGTGGAGCAAGCCACCAGTTAACCATAGACACCAGGCAGTGGTGGCACACAACTTTGTTCCCAGCAATTGGGATCTCAGGCCTTTGATCCCAGTACTTGGGAGGTGGAGATGGGACTATAAGGTGAATGAAGTCAGAAACTCTCGGAACCATTCAGTCTGAGGATCCATAGAGACAGGGTCTCAGCCTTTCTGTCTGAGGATTTCATAGAGATAAGAACTTTAGTCATTGGCTGCTTTACTTCTCTGATCTTTCAGTTTTCATCCCTTTAATATCTGACTCCGGGTTTTTGTTAAGATCTATTAGTCTCCCCCAATCAAAACCCATTCATTTTGAATGAATCCACAGGCTTTCGTTTCCTGTGAAAACAAAGGCATAACTTCTTCCCCAACGGAATACATTTTCTGACTTCCACTTTAAAGTTAAAGCATTCCTAAAGTATCTAGACTGTTTTTAATTCAGCAGTCCCTGTGAAAATTCCATGTCTCTGAGCAACTGCCATTCACTCAGAAGCATTCAAAAACTTCAAAGTTAACACAACACCATAGGGAGCCAGCCTCCCTGTGTATTTCCCATGGTTATGTGACTTTTTTCTTTTATAGTACTTTACTCTCTTCAAAGACTTTATTGTTTTTAAACTATTTACTTTTCCCCTTGATTATCTACACCCATTTTCTTTTCTTTCTTAAGTCTATGCACATTCTAAAGCACCATAACTTGTTTAAAGGTGTTTTTTGTTGGTTTGTTTGTTTCTCCAATCTGGATCTGTCTTTACTGCATATCTCTATCTTTTTCTGACCAGCTGAGACAAATTTTAAGCTACTAAGCAGTGGTGACAGGTCCTCTGGCGGCAGCCCTGGTGGTTGACTCTGCTCTCTCTTTGATGCTTGAAAGCCAAACCTAAGCCCGCTGCCCTGGTCCTGGTTGGAGCTGTCTTTGACCCAGAACTACATTCAACCGCTCCAGCTCTAGGAAGAGGGTGCTCACACTGTGGCAGGCATTTTAACTTGGCACACTGTTTCTACTTAGTATGCCAGTATGACAGAGCCTCTTAAAGGAGCTCTCTCTCTCTCTCTCTCTCTCTCTCTCTCTCTCTCTCTCTCTCTCTCTCCAGCTATCACAGGCCCTGTGTGGAAATTCAGGTCTCACACCGGGTGCCAAAGGTACCAGGCTTTTTCTTTTTGGCCACCAACCAGCTCCCAAATCATGACAAAGAGACAATGTTAGTTGTAAATGCTTTGCCTTATGCTCATGTCTTGCTAGCTCTTATAACTTAACCTATCTAACTTCATCTATGGTTTTTGTTTTGTTTTGTTTTTGTCTTTTGAGACAGGGTTTCTCCATAGCTTTAGAACCTGTCCTAGAACTCACTCTGTAGACCAGGCTGGCCTCAAACTCACAGAGATCTGCCTGCCTCTGCTTTCCAAGTGCTGGGATTAAAGGCATGCGCCACCACTGCCTGGCTTCATCTATATTTTTCCTCAGGGCTTTTTATCTTTCTTTCCTTCCGCATTTCCCTACTCAACCTTCTGGCTGGAGGTTGCCTGACTGGCCCCCAGGTGTCTCCCTTTCTTCTTTGTTCTCTCCTCTCTTCTTCCTTTCCAGGGTTTCATTAGTGAACTGCCCACCTTGAAAACCGACAGCACAATCCTTCTTTAAGCCTGTTTCCTCATTGATAAAGTTGTGGTGGCACCAGAACCACTGCCTTTCTTGGGAGAATCAAGTGAGCTAGCCTGCAGCCATGCTCCAAACATGTTAACACTCATGGAAGGGGGTGGGAATGCAGCTCGGTTGGCAGAGTGCTCACCTCGCATGCACAGAACATGGGGTGCAATCCCCAGCACTCCACAACCAGGCAGGGTGATGAAAGGGTGCCTGTAACCTCAGCATTCAGGAAGTAGAGGCAGTAGCTTCAGGAGTTCAAGGTCATCTTCAGCTACCTCGTGAGTTCTAGGCGCTACAGGTGACACTATCTTAAAAATAATAAAGCTGGGAATGGTGGCGCTTACCTTTAATCCCAGCACTCTGGAGCCAGAGCAGGCCAGTCTCGATGAATCTGAGGCCATCCTGTTCTACACAGGTCAGCCAGTCTTACATAGAGAAACCCTGTCTCATTTTTTTTTTTTTTTAATGCTAAGATAAAATGTGGTTGGTGGAGAGACAGCTCCGCAGCTGAGAACACTGGCTGCCCGTCCAGGGAAAGAGTTCAGGTCCTCGCGCCCACTTGGCCCCTCACATTTGGTTGTGACTCCAGTCCCAGAGGGATAGCACGCCCTCTTCTGGCCTTCTCTGGCACTACATGCACACGATGCACAGACATAGGTTCAGGCAAACACTCATATGCATACAATAAAAATAAGTCAAATACAAAAAAGAAGAAAAGTGAAAATAACAGATATCTATTACACTAAGCCATAGAAAATGTAATTCCCGTAACCACAATAAAAACAGCCTCTCTGACGCTCTTCTTTCTGACTGTCTGCACCATTATTTGTACTCAAAAGTTTATTCTGAAGCCACCTGGATATACGACTATCAGTTTGATATCTTCAAGAACACGGTTGCTAGAAATGTTGCTGCAAATGCCTCCCTCCAAACACAAAGCGGCCAGGGACAGCTGGGTGGCTGGTCCAGGACAGGGAGACATGTGGCGGCGGTGGTGGGCGAGAGACAGAGACATGGATAGGTATGCCATGCAGACTGAGGTTGGACATTTATTTAGTGGAAGGGAGGGGAGAAGGGGAGAAGAGCAGAGCGGGGGAGAGAGAGAGAGAAAGAGAGAGAGAAAAGAGAAGGGAGAGACGGAAGCTGTCTCTCCAAGAGGGAGACAGAAAGGAGAGAGAGACTAAGGCTGCAAGAAGCAGGAAGGAAGACCTGCCTGCCTCAGCGGATGGGGGAGGGAGTGGGCGTGGCTTGTCTCTTAAAAACTGTCCTTGCCTGGGACTGGCTGCTCTCAGGGCCCGCTGCCTGCCACCCCTTGGCCTGCTGCCACCGCTTGGGGACCTGCAGCGTTTCTGCTGCCTGCTGCTGCCGGGGATCCTGCAGCATTTTTCATTTTCCCATTATACTCAGGACACATGACAATCTGACAGCCTAAGAAAATAAAGTTTAATTTCACAAATTTTATTAAAAATGGAGTTTGTTATCAGATATCTTATTGCAAAGATGAAATCTCACAACACACCAATAAAGTTTGCTGTAATAAACAAGCTTTGAAAAAATATAAATTCTTTTGTAGTTATAGAACTTGAGAAGTTTTTGTTATTAAAAATTAATGTTTTCTATGCCAGGCGGTGGTGGCGCACGCCTTGGGAGGCAGAGGCAGGCGGATCTCTGTGAGTTCAAGACCAGCCTGGTCTACAGAGCTAGTTTCAGGACAGGCTCCAAAGCCACAGAGAAACCCTGTCTCGAAAAACCAAAAAAAAAAAAAAAAAAAAGATGTTTTCT